GTGTGTGTGTGTGTGTAATGCAGGGGCATGAGCCTGCGTTTTTCCCAGAGGAAAGCAGGGAGAGAAATGAGTCTCAGCTCTACACCGACTGTCATCATTCAGTTGACCTTTCAACAGAGAAACTATGAAAAACCTGACACTAATGAGGATGTTGGAGGGTGTGTCTGTGTCTCTGTAACGTTTTATCAGTTTTGATAGCGTGGTATTTGAGTCAGACTAATATTAGAAACTGTGGTGCATTATTTCACCAATAACTCGAAGTGTAACAATGACATTTCAGTCAGTTTTTTTCTCTGTTCTAGATATGAAGTAACTTTACAATATATTTTAGTGGCTAGCGATGGCATTGTCAGTCGTCAGTTGGTTCGCCCATTACTTTAGTCCAGACGATCGATTGCCATTATCTATGGTCCCCCGAGGATGAAGCCTACTGACTTTGGTGAAATTTGGTACAGATATCCATTGTTCTGTTTGGTGTTCCCCTTTTCATCTAGCACCAGCATGATGTTGACATCTGTGCATTTTAGTAAAAACTCTTGACAGCCATACAACTTTTTATACAGAAGCCAGTTATATTTATATATATATTTGTTATATTCACATGGCTGATTAAGACAGTGTGACAGTGAGACAGCATGCTCAGGTAAATGGAATTCATCCATCAGTAAATTTACCATTTGCGTTTTTCCTACTGAGACATGTCAAAATGACTTCTATGAAAAAGGCCTTTTGGATGAGTTGTTGTGAGTTGTTGTTTGTTACGGAACTTTATGCCTATGTCTTAGACTCTTAGTATAGTCTTGTATTGTTGAACATTAACAGCTTTCATTTGAATCGTGTGAGTAATCTTAAGCCTAAGTGCTGCTGGAGATGCAAAGGGTGCAGGAGCTACTGTAGGTGATAAAGCTGTCGAGGTAGCTGTACCCTTTTGAATGTGTTGAGTGCAGCGCAAAACCATGACGCAAAACTGCTGGTGGAAACTTCATTAAAGCAAACCAGAACACAAGCACTCTGTAATTCTCCATTTAAAAGACATGGTTATCTTTCAGTTTCTATAAAATAAAAAAAAACAGTCCAAACCCCTGGTGCAGGAAAAAAAGGTTAATTTCAGCTTTTTTTTTTTTTTTTTTTCACGTTTCTTCTCCACACCCCTTTGTGGATAAAGGCAGAAGAAAGAGACAGCGGATTAATGGTGACGGCGATGACGTTGTAGTGGCTCATTTGCGCTCTCCACGTGTGTGAAATGCCAGTATGGCTCTGACAGAGGCCAAACACTCTCTTCTTGTTTTCTCACGGGGATGAAACACAGAGGGATTCTGCATTTGCCGGTGGCTGCTGAAGTTGCCTTTCTTCCCTGCTTGCCTCTTGAAGCTCTCTTTCAAGCTTAATTTTTCTCACTCTTCTGTCCTTTCAGGCTCCCTCTTTTTTTCCTCTCTGTGGGTCTAACGAACATCTGTCCCTCTCATACTTGTAATCCTTTCGCATGCTTTCATGGTTTGATTTTCTTTCTTTTTTTATCCCGTGCATTTGATAAAAATGACACCAATACACAAGCAAGTAGCATCTTAACTTAAAAAAAAATACAAAAATAACAGAGAATACACTAAACAATCTGGCGTGACAGTTGTTTCAGTGCTCTTTCAGGTTGGTGGATTTTCTTCCATTCTACTTTTCCATTTAACACTTTGCTTGTTCTGAGATGTTTGGTTGTTGTTGAGATATTTTATATATATATATATATATATATATCTATATTTTATTTCTATGCAGATGTTGTCTGGAGAAAGGAGTTTAGGGCGCTTGCTTGGTTGAATCAGCTGTCAATGCTGCTAGATGATTCTACATAATTCATAACACTATCCAGGTGTCACTCTCTCTGTCCTCTCTCTGTTTCCCCTCTCTCTCACTTTCTTCCATTAATTCTGTTTCTCTCTCCCTCTCTCTCTCTTGCATTTCTCATTGCCCCGGTTCAGATCCTAAAAGATTAATTGTCCCACCATGTTTCTGCTGCTACATGCGGCTTAATGGAATCTGCGTCGTTGAGGCGCCAAGCCATGACTTTTCAGACTCTCCTGTTTAAGCTGGTCTATGAAATATTTATAAAGTTATTTAGAAAAGGGTCAGGCATGGTGAGTAATGGCCCTGCTTGGTGATTCACGGTGTGGCATCTCATTGCTGAGATGGAGATCTGGGTGGCGAGCTGTGGCAGGTCCGGGCATGGACACACACACACTCACATGCTAACAGACACACACATTAAACTAAAAAAGAGACCACGGCTGTGCATGTACAAGCACAGGCAAACGCAGACAGAGGAAGGTCTGGGCAAGTTCCACACTGACAGTCACATGATGTCCTTATATTTGTAACTGTCAAATATAAATATAAGCCAAGGTCAGAACAAAAGGCCATGTTCAGCACCACAGACAGCTCCATCTGACATCTTAGCTCATGGGCATGAGTATTCAGGTCCCAACGCAATACCGACATGGCTGAATATTTGGACTGATATTATTTTTTTTAAGTGTATTTTTTATTCTCAAGGACATTGCTATGGGTTATATCTTTCTTTTTACTTGCTTAGTTATGAGCCTTGAATCAGG